AGAGCTTCTGAGCTTTGCCGAAAATCGTGCATCATAGAAAATGACCGCTCCGTTTGAAAGCCCCTGGTCCGGCCAGTGGTTCCGGCCACTTTGGCTACTTTAATTGGAAGCCGACATTCAAAGTGCGTAAAAAGAAACCTTCCAAGCACCATCTGATCTAAATTCCTGTATAATTTTTATAGGCTGCTCACTTAAAATTCGAAACCAAACTGAGATTTCTGTGTAAAGAGCTAACGTTTGGTCTCTCGAAGAAACTAAACCGTGAAAAGGTCAATTCGCCACCATTTTAAATGAATTCAATCAAAGTTTAGAGGGAAAAAATATTTGTCGTCGCTTGTTTACGTCCTCAAGAAACACCTCCCATCACAAAATGTTGTCTAAGTCATGCCGCGACCGAAAAGCGTGCGTCATAATACACGTGCAGAGTAATGTTTTCCTTGTTAGGCCCATTGCTTGCCAAGTTTCTTGACTTTGCTAAATGCTACAGCTCCCAAATGAAATATAAGTTTCATTTTATGGCCTTCTATATCACTGCTTAATAAATAACGTGCAGTGTTACTGGGAAATTTTCAAACAGGCTTTCCCTTTTCAATCACTATTTGGCTAGTTTGGCCGGACCAAGGACATAGTACGCAAAATGTATTTTGGAATATTATCTAAACTTTGGTTTTAAAATTCAACCAGTCGACCGAATTTTTTTTTTTGCAAGTCGAAAGAACATTTCTTGTACGCCGTGTACACCAAAAATTAGCTTTCTTAACACTTAATTGCATATACCTGAACTAAAAATGCATCCAAGTAATTTAAGGCGCCATAAAAAAAGCAAAAATAACAGAACAAAATTCACCTACGACAATCGAGCTTCAGAAGGCAAACAGATCAATAAAAAATCGGAAAGTTTCGTTTGTAGTTTAACCTTATTTTCTTCCCGAAAATTACGTACATCACAAATTAAAACGGGCCGGAACTTATCCGAACTTATCTAGGAAAGATCGAAGCTACTCAGTCTGCAAGCAGGGTAGTATAAATCATGTCAAGATAAAGCTAAATTTTCAACTTAAACGGGTCTAAATAGGGAATGAATTTTCAAAAGAAAGGTCTTATGTGAGAGTTCAGTGAATCGTTTTTTTTATTTTTAGCTAAGTGTGAGCAGAGTAAAACGTTTTATATCCTGAAGTATTGAGATAATGAAACCGCCTATATGCATTGATTTCTTTTCTTTTGATCCACTTGTCCATGTCTTCAGATAGGTTCATCCTATTAGGGATAAAAATATTTTTTCTTTTTTCCTCACGCTAATGATATGTTTCGTGTTCATTTACCGTGCTTAAATATTCTCACTGAAATTCTCCATACTTCTTTATTAAGCCAATTTAATGTGACGTCCCACATGTTTTGTCTTCAGCCTAAACGTTAACTTTGAAATTTACACAATGTACAAACTGAGTACTCACAACTGTTGTCTTTGCCAGATTAATTGTTGCTGCAGAATATTCAAGAGGCCATCATGGTTCTTGGTATATTGCCATGTTTATGCCCCACAGTACGTCCAGAGCGGTTTTTCTGTTGAGAAATTATAACCAGTTAACCAAGAGAGTTATTCCCGAAATCAGAGTATTGATATATTCAAATCAAGACAAATCACTGAGTTGTCCAGCTCAAGTAGCTTAAGACTTACACCCCTCGAAGGATATAAAAAAAATGAGGTAAAAAACGAAGGCTCCAAAATCAGAAGTTTTGCTTTCTCGAACTATTAAAAGGTAGCTCGAATTTTTTTAGCTTTTGTTTGTTTGAGAAGCCTAATAAAAAGGCTAACCTTAATTGTGTTATAAACTATGAAAAGTGGCGGAAAGGATAAAATCGGCAACACCGAATGAATATCAAGCTTAACCTTAATTAGGTTTAAAATTAAACTTAGTGATAATGAGAAGTGAGTAGACTTACCTTTTTAAGTACGTTTCTTTGTTTGAACTTTCAACATGTCAAAAGAATCATTAAGAAAAATTTTCCAATGTTTACACAGCAATAAACGGCCATTGCCAATTGCATGACAAGTGAAATTGAGAGCAATTTTTTTTTCAAGGTACGCGTCAGCCTTGAATCTTGGCCACCCGCGTCGCAGTGGCGGGAAATCGGATTTTGGAATCCAGTCCCCAAGGGCGCGATCCACTCAACCCAAATTTCCGGAATATTTCGGTCCAAAACTCAATGGATCGGTTCGGTCCAACCGGAAAAGTTTCGAAAAAACGGGTCCACCTTTTTAGGTGGACCAATTTTCCCGGTCGGACCGGTTGGAATTTTGGTTGAATGGATCGCACCCCAATACTCTGGATTAAACCGTCACGTACATGCAGGATTCATTTCTGTTATTAAGGACCATTAAGTAAAAATCATGTTGATTACATCCTTATATACAGCAGTTTAAGGCCTGGAGCGTAACAGAAATTCATCCTTGGGCTTAAAATGACTCAATAAGAGGTGAGCGAGAAAAGGTTTCCTAGCTTTTTGCTAATGTAACTCTGGTCAAAAACACAAGGAAAACCGTGCCTTCTCTAGAAACCGATAAAGTTCTAACAAACTGAAAATGACTGTTATTATAAGCTCATAGTTTTTCCGAATGTTCGACCTCCCGATATTGATATATTTCTGTAGTCTTTTAGTTACTTAACTTTCCAGTGTTTTATTATAATATTATAACTATTTTGCCTGCCCTAATAATTTTCACAATCGCAAGTTTTGAAGAACAACATAATGGAATATAAAACTAAAATAATATGCTCGGCAGCCGGGAAGGGTCTAAGTTGCACGGCAGTCAGAATGTTTTTTTGATTTTCTTCAAAATCCCTTTTTCTAAGTATAATCGTTTGAAAGTATTATATCTTCGTTTAGAATTACCAAGGGATTAGGAAAACAGGAATGGCTTAGCAGTAGAGAGGTTGTGGTTTCTTGGGCATAGAGCCTGAGAGTCGACGCCGTTTCGACACTTAGAAACATTCGAGACTCACGAGCACGTTTTCGCACAGGCAGTAAATATCCGGCAGTTTGAAAGCCATCTGGAAAGTTAGAAAGCCTGTTAGTAAGCCAAAGGATGCATACTAGCCTCGATTAGTTTTCCAAAGCAATAACGAAAATATTAAGTGCTTTCATTATGAAACCTTACAGTCAATGCACTGTGTGAATCAACTAACGTGTGGAAAAAAAGGGCGCAAAGGCAAACGCAGTGCGAATTACGGCCCATAACCAAACGGGAAAGGCGGTCCCTGATAACACCAAATTAAATATAGCCAGTTATAAAAAAAACAACTAACGAGTCACGAACGATAAGGAATAACAAGACGAGCTAGTAACAAGACTAAAAGGGGCGTAAAAGACGTGAGAGCTCAAACAGAATAATAACCATACGACTAACTTATAACAGAAATCGCGACGATAACTGTGATCCTCGGTTATCTCCTTCGCGATAATGGCACTGAGATTGCGGACGCGAACTTAATTAGAATTGATCGTGATCACCACCTGGCGATCGCGATTACTGCACCACGATCGAGAGCAATATGGCACTCGACGATCGCCGATTACAACTTAACTAAATCACACCGCGATCGCAATCACCGCTTCGGAGTAAGTACAATGCCCCTGCGATCGCGATTACCAAACCGGGATCGTAGTCCTGACATATAAATCACGGATTTGACTTTACTAAATCAAGCCGCGATCGTGATCATCACGCCGCGATAAGTACAATGTCGCTGCCATCGCGGATACTATTTTTCAAAATCGCACGATCCCATCAGCTGCTTAGCGTTTAATATCATCGAGCTAAAATAAAAACTGTCTGTCTTCGCGATCACAATCATCTTCCTGCGATCACGATCATTCCGCTGAGATCGCTATAGCTTCGCCACGATCGCTCTATCTTCACCATCCTGACCCTGAGATCGCGGATAATATTTTTCTGAATCGCGCCGCGATCGTAATCTTCTTCCTGCGATCACGATCATCGGGCTGAGATCGTTATAACTCCGCCGCGATCGCGATTTCATCGCCAGTATCGCAATCCTAACCTTGGGATCGCAGATACGATTTTTCAAAATTGCGCCGCGATGGCGATCATCTTCCCGCGATCACGATCATCACGTTGAGATCGCTATAACTTCGCCGCGATCGCTCTTTCTTCCCCGCGATCGCGTTCACCACGCCGCGATAAGTACAATACCGCTGCGATCGCGATTTCATCGCCAGGATCGCAATCCTGGCTCTGAGATCGCGGATAATATTTTTCTGAATGGCGCCGCGATCGTAATCTTCTTCCTGCGATCACGATCATCGTTCTGAGATCGTTATAACTTCGCCGCGATCGCGATTTCATCGCCAGCATCGCAATCCTGACCTTGGGATCGCAGATACGATTTTTCAAAATTACGCCGCGATCGCGATCATCTTCCCGCAATCACGATCATCGCGTTGAGATCGCTATAACTTCGCCGCGATCGCGATCACCACGCCGCGATCGCGATCACTACGCCGCGATCGCGATCATCGCGTCGCTATTGCAAGCGCGATTTACTTCAATTGTATCGCGATCGCTAATATCGCGCCGCGATCAAAATCATCGCGCCGCGATCGCGATCACCGCGTCGCGATCGCGATTACCGCGTCGCGATCGCGATCATCGCGTCGCGATCGCAATCATCGCGTCGCGATCGCGATCACCGCGCCGCGATCGCTATAACCTCGCAGCGATCGCGATCACCACGTCGCTATCGCGGGCGCGATTAATCTAAATCGCGCCGCGATAGGCACAATCGCGCCGCGATCGCGGTCATCGCGGCGCGATCGTGGCGCGATCGCTAATAAATTTTTACAAGGGTTGTCACCGTTGTGACGGTTGTCAGCATTGTCACTGTTGTCACTGTTGTCACCGTTGTCTTTGTTGTCACTGATGTCACCGTTGTCACTCTTGTCACTGTTGTCACCGTTGTCACTGTTGTCACTTTTGTCACTGTTCTCACTGATGTCACCATTGTGACTGTTCTCACTGATGTCTCCGTTGTCACTGTTGTCACTGTTGTCACTTTTGTCACTGTTGTCACCGTTGTCACTGTTGTCACCGTTGTCACCGTTGTCACCGTTGTCACTGTTGTCACTGTTGTCACTATTGTCACCGTTGTCACCGTTGTCACTGTTGTCACCATTGTCACTGTAGTCACCGTTGTCCCTGTTGTAACTGATGTCACCGTTGTCACTGTTGTCACTTTTGTCACTGTTGTCACTGTTGTCACCGTTGTCACTGTTGTCACTGTTGTCACCATTGTCACTGTTGTCACTGTTGTCACCATTGTCACCGTTGTCACCGTTGTCACTGTTCTCACTGATGTCACCATTTTGACTGTTCTCACTGATGTCTCCGTTGTCGCTGTTGTCACTGTTGTCACTTTTGTCACTGTTGTCACCGTTGTCACTGTTGTCACCGTTGTCACCGTTGTCACCGTTGTCACTGTTGTCACTGTTGTCACCGTTGTCACTGTTGTCACTGTTGTCACCATTGTCACTGTTGTCACCGTTGTCACTGTTGTCACTGTTGTCACTGTTGTCACCGTTGTCACTGTTGTCACTTTTGTCACTGTTGTCACCGTTGTCACTGTTGTCACCGTTGTCACCGTTGTCACCGTTGTCACTGCTGTCACTGTTGTCACTGTTGTCACTGTTGTCACCGTTGTCACCGTTGTCACTGTTGTCACCATTGTCACTGTAGTCACCGTTGTCACTGTTGTCACTGTTGTCACTGATGTCACCGTTGTCACTGTTGTCACTGTTATCACTGTTGTCACTGTTGTCACCGTTGTCACTGTTCTCATTGTTGTCACCGTTGTCACGGTTGTCACCGTTGTCACTGTTGTCTACGTTGTCACCATTGTCACTGTTGTCACTGTTGTCGCTGTTGTCACCGTTCTCACCGTTGTCACTGTTGTCACCGTTGTCACTGTTGTCACTGTTGTTAACATTGTCACTGTTGTCACCATTCTCATTGTTGTCACTGTTGTCACTGTTGTCACCGTTGTCACTGTTGTAATTGTTGTCACAGTTGTCACTGTTGTCCCTGTTTTCACTGTTGTCACCGTTGTCACCGTTGTCACTGTTGTCATTGTTGTCACCGTTCTTCCATTGTCACTGTTTTCACCGTTGTCACTGTTGTCACCGCTGCCACCGTTGTCACTGTTGTCACCATTGTCACTGTTGTGACTGTTGTCACTGTCGTCAGTGTTGTCACTGTTGTCACCGTTGTCACTGTTGTCACAGTTGTCACCGTTGTCACTGTTGTCACCGTTGTCACCGTTGTCACTGTTGTCATTGTTGTCACCGTTGTTTCATTGTCACTGTTGTCACCGTTGTCACAATTGTCATTGTTGTCACCGTTGCCACGGTTGTCACTGTTGTCACTGTTGTCACCATTGTCACTGTTGTCACTGTTGTCACTGTCGTCACTGCTGTCACCGTTGTCACTGTTGTCACAGTTGTCACCGTTGTCACTGTTGTCACCGTTGTCACCACTGTCACTGTTGTCACTGTTGTCACCTTTGTCACTGTTGTCACCATTGTCACTGTAGTCACCGTTGTCACCGTTGTCACGGTTGTCACCGTTGTCACCGTTGTCACTGTTGTCATCGTTGTCACTGTTGTCACTGTGGTCACTGTTGTCACTGTTGTCATTGTTGTCGCCGCTGTCACGGTTGTCACCGTTGTCACTGTTGTCACCGTCGTCACCATTGTCACTGTTGTCACTGCTGTCACTGTTGTGACTGTTGTCACTGTTGTCACCGTTCTCACTGTTGTCACCATTGTCACTGTAGTCACCATTGTCACCGTTGTCACCGTTGTCACTGTTGGCACCGTTGTCACTGTTATCACTGTTGTCACTGTTGTCACCGTTGTCACTGTTGTCACTGTTTTCACCGTTGTCACTGTTCTCATTGTTGTCACCGTTGTCACCATTGTCACTGTTGTCACTGTTGTCACTTTTGTCACCTTTCTCACCGTTGTCACTGTTGTCACTGTTGTTACCATTGTCACTGTTGTCGCTGTTGTCACCATTCTCATTGTTGTCACTGTTGACACTGTTGTCACCGTTGTCACTGTTGTCATTGTTGTTACAGTTGTCACTGTTTTCACTGTTGTTACCGTTTTCACCGCTGTCACCGTTGTCACTGTTTTCACTGTTGTCACTGTTGTCACCGTTGTCACTGTTGTCACCGTTGTCACTGTTGTCATCGTTGGCACTGTTGTCACTGTTGTCACTGTTGTCACTGTTGTCATTGTCGTCGCCGCTGTCACGGTTGTCACCGTTGTCACTGTTGTCACCGTTGTCACCATTGTCATTGTTGTTACAGTTGTCACTGTTGTCACTGTTTTCACTGTTGTTACCTTTTTCACCGCTGTCACCGTTGTCACTGTTTTCACTGTTGTCACTGTTGTCACCGTTGTCACTGTTGTCACCGTTGTCACTGTTGTCATCGTTCTCACCGTTGTCACTGTTGTCACCGTTGTCACTGTTGTCACTGTTGTTAACATTGTCACTGTTGTCACCATTCTCATTGTTGTCACTGTTGACACTGTTGTCACCGTTGTCACTGTTGTCATTGTTGTCACAGTTGTCACTGTTGTCCCTGTTTTCACTGTTGTCACCGTTGTCACCGTTGTCACTGTTATCATTGTTGTCACCGTTCTTCCATTGTCACTGTTTTCACCGTTGTCACTGTTGTCACCGCTGCCACCGTTGTCACTGTTGTCACCATTGTCACTGTTGTGACTGTTGTCACTGTCGTCAGTGTTGTCACTGTTGTCACCGTTGTCACTGTTGTCACAGTTGTCACCGTTGTCACTGTTGTCACCGTTGTCACCGTTGTCACCGTTGTCACTGTTGTCATTGTTGTCACCGTTGTTTCATTGTCACTGTTGTCACCGTTGTCACCGTTGTCACAATTGTCACTGTTGTCACCGCTGCCACCGTTGTCACTGTTGTCACTGTTGTCACCATTGTCACTGTTGTCACTGTTGTCACTGTCGTCACTGCTGTCACCGTTGTCACTGTTGTCACAGTTGTCACCGTTGTCACTGTTGTCACCGTTGTCACCACTGTCACTGTTGTCACTGTTGTCACCGTTGTCACTGTTGTCACCATTGTCACTGTAGTCACCGTTGTCACCGTTGTCACTGTTGTCACCGTTGTCACCGTTGTCACTGTTGTCATCGTTGTCACTGTTGTCACTGTTGTCACTGTTGTCACTGTTGTCATTGTTGTCGCCGCTGTCACGGTTGTCACCGTTGTCACTGTTGTCACCGTCGTCACCATTGTCACTGTTGTCACTGCTGTCACTGTTGTGACTGTTGTCACTGTTGTCACCGTTCTCACTGTTGTCACCATTGTCACTGTAGTCACCGTTGTCACCGTTGTCACCGTTGTCACTGTTGTCACTGTTGGCACCGTTGTCACTGTTATCACTGTTGTCACTGTTGTCACCGTTGTCACTGTTGTCACTGTTTTCACCGTTGTCACTGTTCTCATTGTTGTCACCGTTGTCACCATTGTCACCATTGTCACTGTTGTCACTGTTGTCACTTTTGTCACCTTTCTCACCGTTGTCACTGTTGTCACTGTTGTTACCATTGTCACTGTTGTCGCTGTTGTCACCATTCTCATTAGGGAGCTTAAGATGCGGACGTTTTCGCGGTGACGGCGACGTGACAGCCCAGGTGGACTGGGCCAGAGGTTGCCGTTCTCGCGCCAAAATTAATTTGCTTAAGATTCTCATGACGGCTTCCGCGACTTCGTCGAGTACATCGGCTGTACTTTCTGAGATTCAATCGCTTTTGTTCGTAGCATGGCCGCATTTGAAGATTTTCGACAACTTCTCATTCTTTACTGCGACGCTAATTTGATCAACGATGAAGATTTCGTTCTCCTTTACGACATGTTTCCGTCGAGAAATCCAAGTTTTCCTTACTACGAGTACGCTTGCTTTGACCTGAACAACATGAGTGAGGCAGAGTGTAAGGCCGAATTTAGGTTTGAGAAAAAAGACCTTCCGACTCTGGCAGAAGCCTTGCAGATCCCACCATCCTTCAAACTACGCCAGGGAAGCATAGTAAGTGGAATGGAAGGCCTCTGCATACTCCTAAGACGGCTCGCCTATCCTTGTAGATTTGGCGACATGGTACCTCGTTTCGGCAAACCAGTACCAGTGCTATCCATGGTCACAAATCATGTGATTTATTATATTTACACCATCCATGGACATCGCATAATCCGCTGGAATGACGCACTGCTTAACCCACCTGCATTGGATACTTATGCTCGATCAGTTCATGCTAAAGGGGCTGCTCTACAGAACTGTTTTGGCTTTGTTGATGGCACTGTGAGACCTATTGCCAGACCAGACGAGCACCAGAGAATGATGTATAATGGTCATAAACGGGTGCACGCCATTAAATTCCAATCTGTTGCCTTACCGAATGGATTGATCGCAAACCTTTACGGCCCCGTAGGTAAAGATCTTTTTAACTTGCTCTTATTTATAAATAAATGTCGATCAGGTTTATGAAAAGAGCAACTCAAACGGAAAAGGTACAAACATGGTTTCGGAAGGTATTTGTTTTCCCCTTCAAGTGTCTGTTTTATAGTATAATCTTCGACAAACGCCTTTAGTGATCAGGGCAATGAAAGGTTGATCTCATGACACCATTTAACAGAAGCGTTGCATGATGAAAAACAATGATATTCCATGAAACAAACCTAAGACTTTTAACTTCTTCTTCCAGAGGGCAAAAGGCATGATGCAGGTATGCTGGCAGAATCTGGTCTCTTGCATGACTTGGAACGCCATGCATTTTCGACAGGGGGTCAGCCTCTATGCATATATGGGGATCCTGCATATCCCCTCAGGGTTCACCTGCAAGGACCATTCCAAGGTGCTGCTCTCACACCTCAGATGGAGATGTTCAATGGATCCATGAGCTCTGTTCGAGTGTCAGTGGAGTGGCTGTTTGGAGACATTTTAAACTATTTTAAATTCCTTGATTTTAAAAAGAACCTAAAAGTTGGCTTAAGTAATATTGGCAAAACATCTGTCGTATGTGCTCTCATGCGAAATGCCCTAACATGCCTATATGGTAATCAAACCTCAGAATTTTTTGAATTAGACCCCCCAAGCCTCCAGGAGTATTTCAGGTGACCTAAAAACGTTTGCTATCTTTATTCTTTATTTACTGCCTGAATATACACTGAAGCAGTGATATTCAAACAACTGGTTAACAGGTTAACACTTTCCTCCAAGAATCAGCCCTGAGGGGTGGGGGGAGGGAGTGGTGGTACTTTAGGATTTTTTGTGTGGGGGTGTGCCACAGAGACCCTGGAACCCTTAACCTATACCAGAGCTAGTTCAGCTGAATTTTGCTACCCTATACTAGACTTAACTTCCCAAATCCCCCCTGCCACTATCCTAGAGTAGCTTTTCGGCTGAGTTGCGTAAATTCAAACTTGTCGATTTGATTTTTATTTTTAGTGGCAATTCCCGGTTTCCCTAATCTAGACTAAAATCTCCCCGTCCACCCCACCCCTGCTTGGGGAAACAGCACAAGCTATAAAAGATCATACACTGTATTATACAAAGCAGACATATTGTTCCACAAAAAATAAAAGCAGTTGTTACTATTTGCATCCACTTATACAACAAATGGCATGCCATTTAGTTCAATGCTCAGTTGTTCAAAAGTTAGATAGTGTTATCCAGCACATAAATCACTATAACGGTTTCTTTAGAGGATGAGCACTTTCCGCCATTTGAACAACTGGTCCCAGTTTAATGCTGATAAAGGCACATACTTTCAAAGTTGAGGCACCTCTAATATCAAGTTTAACAACTTATACATTGTTTACACAAATGTAAGTATTGAAGAAATAAACCTTTTCACAATACAATAATTTTTGTCAGTTCAAAAAATCAAATCAAATTTATCTTTTGCAATGTAGTCAGGGCTTTTAATAATCACTTGACTCAATTTAATATATGACATATTTTCATAGCCCGTATTCTGAAAGGGTAATCACCTGATTGACACATGCATAATACAGCTAAATTGAAACTGGATCAATGAAACTAGAAAAAAAATGTGATTATGATAATGATAACTCAACAATCAACCACCACTCTAGCAGAAATGGAGTTAAAAGAACAGTTGAATGCAAAATATGTCACTAACAAGAGAAAAATAATTGCAGTAGTGCAATAGTTGAAAAAGAAAAGTTGCAATAAAAAATGTTAACGCTTCTCCTTGGGAGCCAGCCTCTCAATCAAAGCTAACATAGCCTGTGATTGCTGCTGCTGCTGCTGGTTCAACATAGACTGCATAAACTGTAGTGTTTGCTGTTGGTTTCTTTGCTGCTGTCTATGCTGTTCTTCTTGTTGTTGCTGAATAATCTTTAGCATATCTTGCTGCATTTTTGTTTGCTGCTCCGATATCCGAGATCCTCTTGCCTCTTCCTGCTTTCTTATTTCAATTTCTTCTCTTTTTAATGCCATCTCTTCTTCTGCTTTCTTTTGCAAGTATCCAATAGCATCTCCTGTACTTTCCTGCTTTTCTTTGGTGGAACCACTCCATTTGTTTTCTCCATCCGTTTTTGAGTTTCTCCGATGGTTTCCATTGCCTTGAACCGCATCTCTTCAGCTGTTGCCTTCTCTTTCTGAAGGCTTTGCTTTTTGTTGCCAGTTGAAGGCTTATTTTTAGCTTCTTCCTCTTTTTCACACAGCTCCTCCAGCAGAGTATCTATCTCTTGTATTACTGGACTAATACCACTTGCTTTTTCTTCCTATTTTTTGCTTTGAATTTGGACATTAGAGGATTGCGCCTGTCTCTCAACGACCTTTTGTTCACATTGAATTTGCATTGGGTGAGGTTATTGAGTCTTGTGGCAATCTCATCCCACAATTTTCCTCTCTCAGGGCTCCCCTTTCTGGTTTCAAAAAGATCTGATCCCCTGACCTCTCTCAAAAATAATGTGTCATGTTGATTTGTCCACTCCATTGTGCTGAAAGAGGGAATCAAAGTTTATTTTAGCACTTTATTTCAAAAACGGTGGAAACAGTAGTTTTCCTTTTCCAGACTGAGTCCTTGCATTGATTTACTGAATATTTGCTGGATGAAATTGTTCTGTTTAATACGCACTGTACATATCCACATAAAGTATTGCTCTAAATTCACAGCACTTCATCGAAGAAATATTTCAAGTGTGGTTATACAAGCCTTAAGAGTACATTTACATATCGATGAGCTATGTAGTGGATTTGTTGGCTAAGTGTAAAAAAATTCAGAACAAAATATTTATCTCTGCACTTTTTAGCAGCCTTCAGAACTCCAAAATTCTTTATCGCCTAAGAAAATTCGGATTCAATATGCCACTAAGAAATTAAAAAATGTATTGGAGTCGGTAAAATATATTATATATATATATGTTTTACAAAAAAGAATTCGTTGAACGTAACAGCTTATTTATCTTTAAAGACTTACTTAGATTGTTTTGTCTTCACTGAACTAGCTTCAGACTCTTCGGTCATTTTCCTGAGTTTTGTCTGTGAAGAGAGCACAAAAAGCCGCTAGAGTTACTTGGCACATCCTCAGGTGGTTTGTGCTAATAAAGAAACTGAAAACAAAACAAGGAATGAAGAGTACAAGAAAGAAATAGCGGTATAAATACTCACGTTTTCACTGCGACGGCAAAATCCCCAAACTGACGTCGCCGACGTGAGGGCGACGGCGGGAATGTTGGAAATCGCATGCGCAGTTAAACTCGCCCCAATCCTAATCGGTCTTTACGTCGCCGTCGCGTCGAAAACGTCCGCATCTTAAGCTCCCTATTGTTGTCATTGTTGACACTGTTGTCACCGTTGTCACTGTTGTCATTGTTGTTACAGTTGTCACTGTTGTCACTGTTTTCACTGTTGTTACCGTTTTCACCGCTGTCACCGTTGTCACTGTTTTCACTGTTGTCACTGTTGTCACCGTTGTCACTGTTGTCATCGTTGTCACTGTTGTCACCGTTGTCACTGTTGTCACTGTTGTCATTGTTGTCGCCGCTGTCACGGTTGTCACCGTTGTCACTGTTGTCACCGTTGTCACCATTGTCACTGTTGTCACTGCTGTCACTATTGTCACTGTTGTCACTGTTGTCACCCTTGTCACCGCCCGTACGAAACTTGCAGCGCTGTACAGCGCCACAAAATCACTGCAAAATAGCTGTACAGCTAAATTACAGGTGTTCATCAGCCTTTTAGAAGCCAAACAGCAGCTTCATTCAAGTTGCAGCGGGATGCAAAAGCGCTGGGCAGCCTTTGAAGGCTCTTTGAAGCTCTCGGCAGTGGTTTTGCAGCGCAGTCGCCGACCGTCAAACGCTGCGAAGTAGCTGCAGTAACACTACAATGCAGCTGCGGTCGATCTGACTTTCTTGAGCGCCAATAACAGGAATCGCCAGATAAAGCCTTGGCACAGATTACGGCTTTTATAACGCGTAAACGTTGACTGTACCTCTAAGAAATGTGAGTAAGCTTGTGCGCAAAGAAGATCACTTATTGAATAAACCTCCAAATCCTATGCTTTCGGGATAAAGATTTCAATAAATTTCATTCCGTGACCGGCGAGTGTGGGAATGTTATCGCTAATTCCCTGGAGACATTCTAGGCCGTAATCTAATTGGTCGGTCGTTTTGCATGAGATCCCATTACATCTCTAGACAAACACAGAACATTTGCGACCGTTGAATGAAAGGCGCAAACATTCTAAGTTTTTTTGCATCTAGTTCTGTTTCGAGATGGAAGTTCTGTTGAAGTTTTTGGATGGAACAGCTCAAACGTATTTGCAAACAACGCACTGAACAGTGACTTCTACGCTAAGTATCGACGAATCGAACCAGAGCAAGCAACACAGATACAAGAATCTCAGATGGGGTTCGCACTTACAAGATTCTTATACGCTCGTGGTAATGTTCGTTCCTTAGTCCATTGTAAAATTTAACGACGATCAAAGTAAAATTGGGTTGATTTCTTTCATGAAAAAAGTGTAGAAGATCGTGGATCATGGACGAAACGTCAAGGTGAGCAATGTCCAGCTTAGCCCGTTGCAACGAATCAAAATATCATTTGCCTAATGGCCGTGCATGTAAACTTTATGTAGAACAATCGATATTATTCTCTTTCTTTTTAAAAAAGATAATTTTCAATGTCTGCATGTTAATGGCTGTTCTTACATTCAGATGAGAGACTGTGATTGCTAAATATTTACAAAACGAGTTTTTGTGTGTCCTTTCCACCGCTGCTAAACCGCTGCTTATCGCTATCAAACGGCTTCATAGCGCTCCCCCAAACAGCCAAAATTTGCGACTGCTGCAGCCAGCCTCTTTGCAGCTAATCTGCAGCGCTTCTTGAAGCCATTCTGCAGCGCTGCAACAGCGCTGCGCGTTTCGTACGGGCGTTGTCATTGTTGTCACTGATGTCACCGTTGTCACTGTTGTCACTGCCGTCACCGTTCTCACTGTTGTCACCGTTGTCACTGTTGTCACTGTTGTCACCGTTGTCACTGTTGTCATTGTTGTCACCGCTCTCATGGTTGTCACCGTTGTCACTGTTGTCACTGTTGTAACTGTTGTCACGGTTGTTACCGTTGTCACCATTGTCACTGTTGTCAAGGTTGTCACCGTTGTCACTGTTGTCACCATTGTTACCGTTGTCACCGTTGTCACTGTTGTCACTGTTGTCACAGTTGTCACCTTTCTCACTGTTGTCAGAGCTGCCACCGTTGTCACTGTTGTCACCGTTGTCACTGTTGTCACTGTTGTCACCATTTTCACTGTTGTCACTGTTGTCACTGTTCTCACCGTTGTCACCGTTGTCACTGTTGTCACCGTTGTCACTGTTGTCACTGTTATCACCATTGTCACTGTTGTCACCGTTGTCACTGTTCTCACTGATGTCTCCGTTGTCACTGTTGTCACTCTTGTCACATTTGTCACCGTTGTCACTGTTGTCACCGTTGTCACTTTTGTCACCGTTGTCACCGTTTTCACTGTTGTCACTGTCGTCGCCGTTGTTACCGTTGTCACTGTTGTCACTGGTGTCACTGTTGTCACCATTGTCACTGTTGTCACCATTGTCATTGTTGTCACTGTTGTCACTGTTGTCACCGTTGTCACTGTTGTCATTGTTGTTACAGTTGTCACCGTTGTCACTGTTGTCACCGCTGGCACCGTTGTCACTGTTGCCACTGTTGTCACCATTGTCATTGTTGTCACTGTTGTCACCGTTGTCACTTTTGTCACCGTTGTCACCGTTTTCACTGTTGTCACTGTTGTTGCCGTTGTCACCGTTGTCACTGTTTTCACCATTGTCCCTGTAGTCACCGTCACGGTTGTCACCATAATTGTCAATGTTGGAACTGATGTCACCGTTGTCACTGTTGTCACTGTTGTCACGGTTGTCACTGTTTTCACTGTTGTCACTCCTGTTACCGTTGTCACTGTTGTCACCGTTGTCAGCGTTGTCACTGTTGTCACCGTTGTCACCGTGGTCACTGTTGTCAGCATTGTCACTGTTGTCATTGTTTTCACCGTTGTGACGGTTGTCAGCATTGTCACTGTTGTCACTGTTTTCACGGTTGTCACTGGTGTCAACGTTGTCACCATTTTTGCGGTTGTCACTGTTGTCACCGTTGTTACCGTTGTCGCCGTTGTCACTGTTGTCACCGTTGTCACTGCTCTCACTGTTGTCACCATCGTCACTGTTGTCACTGTTTCACCATTGTCATTGTTGTCACTGTTGTCACCGTTGTCACTGTTTCTATTGTTGTTACAGTTGTCACTGTTGTCACCGTTGTCACCCTTGTCACCGTTGGCACCGTTGTCACTGTTGTCATTGTTGTCACCGGTGTGACGGTTGTCAGCATTGTCACTGTTGTCACTGTTGTCACGGTTGTCACTGTTGTCAACGTTGTCACCATTGTCACTGTTGTCAATGTTGTCACCATTGTCATTGTTGTCACTGTTGTCACTGTTGTCACCGTTGTCACTGTTGTCACCGTGTTCACGGTTGTCACTGTTGTCACCGTTGTCACCGTTGTCACCGTTTTCACTGTTGTCACCGTTGTCACTGTTGTCATTGTTGTCACCGTTGTGACGGTTGTCAGCATTGTCACTGTTGTGACTGTTGTCACGGTTGTCACTGTTGTCAACGTTGTCACCATTGTCACTGTTGTCACTGTTGTCACCGTTGTCATTGTTGTCACTGTTGTCACTGTTGTCATCGTTGTCACTGTTGTCACCGTTGTCACGGTTGTCACTGTTGTCACCATTGTCACCGTTGTCATTGTTGTCACCGTTATCACGATTGTCACCGTTGTCACTGTTGTCACCATTTTTGCTGTTGTCACTGTTGTCACCGTTGTTACCATTGTCACCGTTGTCACTGTTGTCATTGTGTTCACCGTTGTCGCTGTTTTCAATGTTGTCGCCGTTGTTGCTGTTTTCACCGTTGTCACTGATGTTCCTGGTGTCACTCTTTTCACTGTTGTCACTGTTGTCACTGATGTTCCTAGTGTCACTGTTGTCGCTTTTGTCACTGTTATCGTTGTTGTCGCTGTTGTCACTGTTGTGAGTGTTTTCGCTGTTTTTACTGTTGTCGGTCTTGTTGCTTGTTATGCAGGTTATCTTTCAGTCCGCCTTCTACTTTTCATTTAAAGGACGGCCATTGCGAAGAACGAAGTTATAGAAGTAATTTTTAAAAAGAAAATAAATTGACAGCTTGTAGAATAAGTGGAAACCAGCATTCTATACATAGGTAAGATAAATCTTCTCTTCCTTCCCCCACTCAAAGCTTGTTTTAACCATGTTTGAGGGGTTTTGGCTGATTAGAGACTGGAGGGGGCTTAATTAATTAGCAAAGATGATGGTTTTATAAAGACCTAGAGGGGAAAGTGGAAAAGTTTAATTAAATGAAGTGGGAAGTCATACAGCCGAAGATCAAAGGCAGATCCCTGCTTTTAGCGTGCAAGTAAATCATACACGGTTAGTCCACCCGAAGTGTTACAGTGTTCCAAAATGTCACCAAATAAATGAAAGATTCATTTTTTCAATATACCCCCCCCCCAACGAGAAGCTGAAACCTAGAAAAATGATAGCGAAGCATGTGTTCCAGTGCTTAATTTAAAAAGAAAAGAGAAGTAGGTGAAACATGTGTACGTGTGTGTATGTAACTGTCGCTATTTATAATAACTTGTTTTGCATAATGTAATAAATTGCTTGAAATAGAAGATTGTAATTTTAAATTATTTGGAAAACAGTCGATGCACCAGATGGTATAAGACACCTGTGTTGACAGTCGTGAATTTTAATAGCGTCTGTTTTTAAGAACAAGGGGGAACGTAAGAGGGGCTTAAAAGAGAAAGAGGCTTCATAAACTTTTTTCTCCTGAAAACGGGGCGCTTATTAGAGAGGGGGGTTACTTGAGGGTGTGTGGAAAGGATTTAAGGTGGCTCGACTGGATTTGTTGGGGTTAATACCTCCCAAGTTTGAGCATCGCCATGAGTAAAGATATGGAAAAAAGATTAGCACAACTCTATTATATAAAGATGAAAATTTCTTATGATCTGGGTTTTGTTGCAATCGGAGTCGCCATGGCAACGTAATGACGCCATTACGTTACGTATCCTCTTAAAAAAATCCAGTCGAGCCACCTTAAGGTATGTTCAATACCAATCATGCGAATAATTAGAACTCTTAGCTAAGCTGCGGCTGTTGGTTGTTGTCAGTGTTGTAGCGTCGCTTGGAGTCTGGTGGAAGCAGAGTGTTACGTCCTTGTGCCGCTAATGAAGTTAACCTTACTTTGACAAAATGAACCCAGGACGAAAACGAACGTTAATTCAAGTGATCTGGTTTGTCTTCAAGCATTCTCGACCCTAGATTTCACGCTTCTTGCCGTTTTCTGACTTTTTCTCTTTGGCGGTTATGTATAGAAGAACTCTGAGATCGATGTTGGTGAGTCATTTCAAAAGTAGGTTGAGTTTTATCGTCCGGGTGAACGTAGTCCTGAATAGGATTGTTGTTGTGGACAATGACTGACGTTTCGACAACCTGTGCGGTAGTCATCTTCAGAGTCAAAGTGAGTTGTATCACGTCAGTTGATGGTATTGTACTCTGGTTATTGATCTGATTGGTCAATTACGTCGCGATGTTATTGGTCGTCTGTCAGTTAAGCCGTGATGTTATTGGCTATGAAGACTCGTAATCAGTAATTGGTGCGTTTCGATCCGTCTATTGTCACAGTTAAACAGTCGTCTATTGTCAGTCAAATTGTCAGTTCTTCAGTCTTTCTGTCGTAGCACTTCTTTTACTTGTACACGGTACGCCAGGAAGGCTATACAGACTCCACGATAACTAAGGGGCTGTTTACATGAAGGGAGGAAGATACTAGTACCAGGTATATCCTAGAAGGTGGATCATCCTAGCGCCATATGTTTTCTGTATTCGGTTTACATACAAAGGGTTGTACTTGTTCCTAGGGCTGGGATCTTCCTAGTACTAGAATTGTCCTAGCTAACAAGTGGGAAGATCCTAGTAATAGGAAGATCCTAGTACCATGTAAACTGCCTTCGCTAGGAAGATCCTAGTACTATGGAAAAACAGACAAAAATAGCAGCGGGTCGTTCAGTGGCTAATCATGGCAATAAAGGCCGACCATTTCGTTTGGCGCCAGTACCACGAGCTGATTATTTTGAAAATTCTACTGAAAGGAAGTTGTTAACGCCAGTAAAGAGAGCAGAACGGTCCAAATTGTGTGTTTGTTTTTGTCGCCCGCCATTTTTAATTCCTTCTCAAATATTCTATGTTTGGGTACCACACGGACCAAAATTTCTGCATGTAAACCCAACGTACAGTTGATCCGCCTTCTAGGATCTTCATGGTACTAGGATCTTCCTTCCTCCATGTAAAGAGCCCCTAACTAACAAGTGAGTTCTTTTCTCAATCGATCATTTTTTCATATTAAATTATCTTACTACAAGCACAGGGTACCTTTCAATACCCTTCTTTTTTTTTTTTCGAGAGAATTAAACACCAGGCACATTCACTGTACACATAATATACATGTATTTACAACTTAATTTTCTCAGAGCTACTCAGAATGGAGGAAGTATCTCTAGCTAAGAGAGCAAACTGCGGTAAGCAACTAAATCTTGCTTCCAAATCGTTCTGAACAGTGAAGCTCTTAGTAGCTCGTAACTAACGAAGACCTTATATGAAACTTACATCAGTGATAAATAATAGTATCAAATAGAAGTTTTGCTGTATTCTGTAATAAAGAACTTAAGATTCGAAGACGAGAACGACTACGAATGCGAGTATGAGATTTGACTTAAAGTTTTTTCCAACAAAATTGTGCACTGGGCCGGACGGGTAATATCATAAACTCAGTTATCTTTTGGCTGCGCTTAAGCATTTCATTTGCTCACATGGCAGAACCAATTCTAGTTTAGTTAAGCTCACAGCAGTTAGCAGTTTATCTAATACGAATATGAGTAGTGGAAATTCAAAGTCTTTAACGATGAACTTAAACAAATTACGCGGACGCCACTGTAGACATCTCTTGCGTTGTTTGGTGAGTGACGTCATTCATCTTAGATTCCCAAGCTTGAACGGTATTCTCCTTCCCTCGTGATCCCTGGTTCGAGTGGCCCTGATTTTGGGAGGTGGCGTGGTAACGACCATTAGCAAGAACGGCAGGTCGGGGTGCTGGAGCAACTTGGCCAGAGCAACAGAGCATGCGCATAACAGCGCTCTTGAAGTTTGGGAGGCGAAATGCGTAAAGAAAAGGGTTGATCAAAGAATTGATAGTGATGAAAACAAAGTGAAAATCTCGCAGCCAGTGAATGAGATAGCAACTGCAAGCATGGCAGAGATTCATGAGATAGATCATGATGCAAGAGGGGATGTAGCAAGTCAGGAAGACTCCCAGCATGATCAGATAGGTCTTTGTGAGTTTGTTTTCCATCTCAATGGCTCGCTGACGGGCTTTGTTGTGCTCTGACTGGCCATCGGTGAGGCTGTCGATCTGGGCAATCTGCTTTTTGGCGTACTGGAAAATACGCACATACGAAAAAATGAAAATGAAGATGGTACAGAACATGGTGATGTTGGCAAACACAAAGGCGTATGCAACGAACCCAACGTAAAAGAACAAAGAAGTGAAACAACCAGATACGATCCACACCATAGATGCGGCGATACCAACTCGCTTGTAACTCGCGTTGGTTCGGTACCACAGGGGTTTGGTGATTGCGAGATAGCGATCAACCGTCAGCGCCGCAAGACTTAGTAAAGAGGCCGTGCAACAAAGAAAGTACACGGACTGGGAAAACCAGGACATGCTGATAGACATTCCCTGGGATTCTCTGTAATGTGTGTTGACAGACAGGGGTTCCACAAGGGCCCCCACAATAAGATCTGTCACAGCAAGGTTTGCAACCAAGAGAGTAAAGGGACTCCGGAGGTTTTTGTTTGGGTCGAACAGGACTGCTAAGATGACCATCAGGTTCCCCGGCACAGTGGCGATCATGAATATTATGGCGAGTACCATGGTGGTTAGTGACACCTCTGTTGGGGCCCAGACTTTAGCGCAATGACTCGCCCCGAGTCCCATTGTGACTGCGGTGGACTAAGTACCTGTAAGAAATTTTCAAGACCATCAGCGTTGCAATCTCATAATTATCATCATTACAGCAGTGTCATTATCATCATCATCATCATCATTATCATATCATCAACATCATGAACATCGCCATCAATATCTATGTGATCAGCGTCATCATCGTTAACAATTATTCCTCGAGCCCGAATGGGCTCTAAGTCAATAGCCCAATGAGGCCGAAAGCCGAATGGACTATTGACTCAGAGGCCATGAGGGCGAGAGGAATAATTGTTTTAGTAAAATTCAACTAGTTGGTCAAAAATATCGAGACAAAACATTTAAAGCAAAACTTTAATCCTTTTTTGCCGCCAAAAATCTGGCGCTTTTCGCTACTAGTGAGCTATAACATATAGCCTAGTAGTAGCACAACCAATCAGAACGCAGCATTGATAATAGACCACAGCTGGATTTTACTATATAGTCATCATCTCACCTTCATCGTCATTATTAAGATCAACGTCAAGACTAGACTACCATGCAAGCAGACGTTCGTAGGGCTTTATCTCGGGTTCCTCCAACGACAAAGCCCTACGTAGTAACGTCTGAGAGAAAGGCTACATCATCCCCATCATCATAATTATAATTTACTACATCGATAATCATCGTTATCTTCGTCATAAATAATCACCACCATAATTATGATTTTCCTCGTTATCATCATCATCATCATCACTATCAATAAAACAATTGATAATATTTTCATCACTATTGTCAGCAATATCTTTACCGATGGTCTAGTCATTATCATCAAAAAGACAAATTGTTGTGGACGATTAATAAAAAAGCTAGCGAAGTTACCTGGATTATTTCGTTTTCACTGTGGTTGGGTCTTGGTCTTTTCAGCGGTGAATCCTATAAAATAAATAAATATGGCGCTCTATCGAGCTCTGTCTGCAGACACTACAATGGGTTGTCTTCATTAATCTATTTGCGAGCAGAGGATGTTTGTGTATATGTATTTGTTTTAAATTTAATTTAATTTTGAATTTTTTGTAACTAATGAAGATCAATAAACTCTAACTAAACTATAACTATTCAGTAATCAGGGGCACCCAACGACAATTTTCGGAAAAATATCTGTTCGGAAGACGATTTGAGATCTAGAATTTTCGGAACATTTGTTGTAAAATTTCTTGCTTGCTTGCCTCTCCTAGGATTTTCGAACATCTAAAAATGGTATAATTTCCTATTTTTAACGGATTTTTACCCTAAAAAGGTCACCTAGAATTTTCGGGAGCCTTTTTTGGGGCTAAAATTTTCGAAAGGGTAGGTTTTGATCCCTATAATTTTCGGATCACTTGACTTTCAGCTAGGAAATCCGAACAGATGAAAAATTCTTAGGGGATAAAAATATGCCTATATCTACCGTTTAAATACTAAAATACGTTTAACAATTCTATGTTCAAGTGGTTTTGAACTATATTCTCGTTGGGTGCCCCTGAGTAATCGTTTATCGACGACATCGATCAGAAGAAAACATTTTCTCCAGAACCTTTCATGATCTTCATATTTAAAACCTCTTTAAAGGTTGCCTTTAACAAGGCCCAAGGAGTTGTGATAGAAGGACCGTCAACAAATTTTTTTTCAGAGCTCAAAATTTCATTATTCGATTCGGAAAGGACTTCAAGTAATTTTTAGCGTTTACCCATACCCGAAAACAAAAACAAATACAACTCACTTCGATCTTTTGCCAAAGTACTGCTCTAAAACATATCAGCGTAAACATGTGACACTCGCCGACAGCCTAAGAACAAATTTTTGTACTCAAATTATCAAAACTGCTAAACAGAGAGGCAGAAACTACACAATTTGGTTAAAATCATGGGAAATTATAGATATTGGAGAGCATTTACTTTGGTGCTGTATTGATCAGGGTAGTCTAAAATGTTGGTGGGTTTCATGGAAAGTAAGGCCCTTTTCAACTTGAGCATCACCTTTGCGCTTTCATCGGCGTGATAAATAATTTGTCTGCAAAATTCATTACGCATTATATGAAATTAATAATCTCGACTGTTAGAGATCTTCCTGATTAACTTATGCTCCAAATAATTACAATTATTACTTGAAGATTTTGACTTACATATCGTGTCTGTCCCTCATGTGTAATCTTTACCATCCGTAAAACGGTGACTAACTAGGGAGCATGCTTTTCGTACGTTTTGAAGTAAAAAGGACCGCAGTAATCAAGAGAAGGTAAAATGCTAGCTAACGTTTGCTTTTTCTGATTACAGATTTCAGTTTTTGATGAATACTCTGACCTTTAGACCCGCTTCTAGCAGCTTTAAGCAATAGTTGATATTTGCTCTGTCTTGTTTTTTCCCGTGTTTTGTCTTCACAGAAGCATTTTCCCAGCTTTGTCTAATTGATCCATAACATAAAGGAAAAAGTGATTTATTGAAAACATCTTAAGCAAAAAACAGCTACTAATTAGATCATCCAATGTGGAACCATTAATTAATGAGAATTTCAAAAACTTACTCTCATGCTGTGCTTTTTATAAATAGAGGAAAATCACGACCTCCAAGCCTTTATTCTCTACCCTGGGGACAATTCACTGGGACAGACTATTTATTGATAAACTGATATTTATCGGAAGATATTTATCGGAAATTAACGCATACAAATATGCCATTGTTGCGTACTACTTCGGAAAGCATAAATGCTAGAATCGTCATTTTGGAATATAGAAAGATGATTCCTTAGATATTATAGAGCAGTTTCTTAAAGTTGAAGAATTAATATATCATTCTAGCTACATTTTAAGTGAAACAAATGAGAATTTGGTGCAGAATGCATGGCAGAATGCATGGAAAACGACCCTTGTCATACCTACATATCGATTTTCGTCCAAAATAAGCGCAAATCTGCACAATATATATGTAGTAGATTATGTAAGACAAATGTCTTGCCTACACGTGCCAATCGATCGCACGTTTGAGCCAAATAACAGTGAATTAGAATACGTTGCAGACTTTTACGTTTAAGAATATGAAGTTTAAACTTGGCGTGTGCTAGGAGTAAAAGTCATTGTCTTGGAGTCGAAAGTCACTCTGTAGGCGGACAGTGGGTTCAGAAAAAACTATCGCCCTGAAGCTTTCGACTGCCCGCCCTCACGACCTTACCGTAATTCACCAAGGTGTTCAGGATCAGCATTTTGTCCCGTGACCTGCATTTAATGGGGTGAAAACTGGTGTTGCATGTCGGACGAGAGTTATTATTACATATTGATACAAGTATTCATTTCAAGGTCAAGTACAAAGCATTCAAAAAGACTCGAAATGAAACATTTGAATTACCCCCCACTTATTGGCCAGAAGATATTTTTACTTTACTAACTTAAGGTCAAGGTGTATTTTTGCAAGGGCAGATTTAGTGGTGGGCCGCACGAGGGAACCGCGGCCACCCTTTCTCCTTGAAATTTTGTATTATTTTTATAGAATTCGCAGAAAAATACAAGGAGACAAGTGGGCAAGTGTCCCGGCCAACCCTTTCTGAATTTTCTGGTTCCGCCCCTGATTCAGATTAACAAAAAAAGGTTGCTTGAAGGAGGCGAACATTAAGCGACTTTCGTGTCGTTTGGGTGTCACTTAATTTTGTGCCTCTCGCCAATTTTCATACAACCAGTTGCAAAAATGTTGAGACACTCCGACGAAAAAGCGACCTTTCTTAATTTAAATCCCTGCGAGTCACAGGTCCGTGAGATATAATACTCACCTTCCTCCTCACCCTCCATTCCAAGTTATTCCTCCAAGTTTTCAGCTTGGTCCTGCACCTGATGCTAACAAGAACTTGATAAGGGGAGCGAGGAGGGGGTATCACAAGGAGAAAATAATGAACAGGCCAGTTAAGCCAAAATAAGGTAAAGTGTCTCAAGTATTTTTGCAACTGGTTGTTAAGCGCCATTTTCTTGGCCAGTAAAAAACAAAATCAAAATTTGTACTGTCTCAGTAAGAGCCGTTCATTGCTTCACTCATCTCAGCCAAGCATTTTACTGGTCGCATATATGAAGAAAATAAAACACAGAACCGGCTCGAAAAGGTGGTCGTTGATTGTAATAACGGGATAGTCTTTTGAAGATGTTGGAGAAAAAGAGAATTCATCAGTGACTGCCAGTAGATATTTTTTCAGACCAGAAAAGAGTGTGCGCATACTAGAGGGGCCCCATCTGTAGATAGCTGTCATAATTATTTCGAAGTATTCATCTTTTTCAATGGTTGTTTGCTTAGGTATCTTCCACAACGAGAAGTGTAACAGAAAAGAGAACGTTTAATCACAAAACCGGCTGAACAATGTCGGCTAGTAACTTAACGTTTCATATTTGATAACATTAAGCCACTTTAATCCGTGTATTCCATTTAGCACTTTATCCGCAAACCACCCGTCGGGTTTTTTGCGCTCTCTATAAACTCTATAAACTTACTTTCTTCTAGTGTAGTTCATGTACTTCAGGGAATTTTTTATTTTAATATAAAAACCTAAAACGAATGTTAAAAAAATACTGTCTCTTAAAAACAAAAGCAAAGTAAGTCACTTACCTTACAATGAATCTTGCGGAGATCTGTTCTCTTTAGCTATGTCTCCTCTGACAGATTTGGGAAAACATTCTACGGTCTTTTAATTTAAAAAGTTTTTTTTTCAATAGAATCTCTTGAGCCCAATGAAAGCCTTGTTTGTGCGTGTGTTTCTTAGAGACCACTGACGATCGAGGTCTTTTTACCTTATCGCCGAGGAAATGTTCACTCGGTTTTGTTATATACTGCCGGCTTTATCCGCTTCATTAGTGATGCTCTTCTCAGGCACGTGTTATGTAAGAGCTTATATCCCCTTCATTAGCGATTATCTTGGCGAGAATACCGTTTGTCCAAGGATTATAGAGAATTTAAAACGACAATGGTGTCAAATTGTATCAATACAGTAGTTTTTTTTACTTTTAAAATTGACCACTGATGGGG